AAACTAGAGACTAGCACAGCATGGCAGGGCAAGAGAGAATGGTTACTGTTGCTGCAGAACTAGGGAGCCCATCAAGCCAGGAATGGAGAAGGCGGCTATTGCAAAGGTAGAACTAGAGCGCAATGCTACCTTGATAGCGCAACCTGTCAGAATCTAGATACACCGTGCGCACTGTATCCCGTGACTGACAGCTGCCAGACTGATCCACCTAACCAACACCTCAATATCTGCAACCCCCCCTGCACTGGCTTCCAGTCACCCAAATAATAACAACCACTTACAAAGCCATCCACAACTCTGAAACAAGGTTTGAGATACCGCCAGGGCAAAGTATCACCCTAACCGTCCCCTCCGCTCTTACAAAGACCTCCTGCTTTCCAGCTCCCTCGTCAACGCCTCCCATGCTCGCCTCCAGGACTTTTCTAGAGTCTCTCCCATCCTCTGGAACTCTTTACCCCAACCTGTCCGTCTATCTCCCACTCTGACTGCCTTTAGGCGATCCCTTAAGACTCATCGCTTCAGGGAAGCCTATCCCACCTCAACCTAAGCATTCAACCATCAAGTTCTCAAACAATTCATCCCCACACAGCTACCTCCTCATGTATCACTGGCCCCTCCCTTTTAGACTGTAAGCCCTCAGGGGCAGGACCCTCCTTACCCTCTTGTCTTGATCTGTACTGTAACTGTAATGTCTTCCTTATATTGTAAAGCGCTGTGCAAACTGTTGGCGCTATATAAATCCTGTATAATAATAATTATTTCAATTTGCATATAAGAAGTTTTTTTTAAGGTGGACCTCTCCCCATACAAACACACCTTTTAGAAATGTTTAGTGATGGCAATTACAAACACATACTTCTAGATAATTGCAGGCTTTGCATTCTTTATTTATTTTTTCTTCCCCAGGCTTCTGGCAGTGGCCATGTTTACTAAGGGCAGATTACTAGATCTCCTTTTACTTCCTGGATTACTGGCACGTGTGACTAGAACATGTGACCATGCACATCAACTCAGGGGAGGAAAATGCCTTTCCCTGAGATCTCGTGAGATTACAGATGAGATTTCCCAGCAATACTCTGCTGATGACAAGGCAATCCCAGTGTGCATTGCTTTGCCAAACTGGAGTCATTTGCACTTTCAAAGCAGGAAGTGAATGTTCTGCAAGTGGAAGTATTTCACAATCACAGCATATTACATCTGACATGTCTGTTATTATTAATCATCATACATAGAGGGAGGCATTGGTAGAATTTGATTTTTAAATGTAAAGGTCCGCTTTAATTAGATCCTCCTTGCTGATTGCTGGGGAATCTTGCTCTTACTGTGAACTGCCCCTCCTAGTTATGATTTGCCTTTTACGATAACCTCCACATCCCTCCAACACCTAGAAAATGTCCCAATATGTACTTGAAATGGTTATCTTTGTAACACGTTAATATGTGCAACCTGCAGATCCACGTCGGATTTTAATCAAATCCAAATTCCTGCTCGACAATCAAATATCAAGGGCAGCAGAGTTTGGAGCTTGTGCAGGAAATGAAAGCCTCTGTCTCAGCATCCCAGATTTCCTGGTTCAGCAGGGCTGGCAAAGCCTTCCAAATCTCTGCCAAAACAACCAATGACACAGCCTGCCGTAGACTCTATATTATCCAGAGCTCGCCTGTTGATGTACTTGCCAGATTTGGGTTACGCTTCTGGTATATTATTGGTAAGTGAATTGGTTATTGTTTAAACCACCTTCCTAAAGGTTAAACAATGTCTCACAAGCATTTTTGGTGCCTTGAATTTTATTATCCCACGAAAAATTAGATTGTACAGAAAAAGCGGCATCTTCGGATTGTGCTTGATAAACTCACTCTACTTCACACTGAATAACAGATCCAACAGGCTAACTAAATGCATTTTAGGTTTATAAGTCCAGGGTTGGGAAAGTATACAATTTTCGATAAAAGCTGACCTTGCATGAAAATTCAGTCTGCTCAGTTTTCAGCCCCCTCCAATAACAAACACAAAGGGGTTGCTTTAAAAATCATTTGCACATCGAACAGCTCTGGGAACGAGATTGGTAGCAGAATATGGCCACTAGATGGAGCCGAGGAGCAAAGGAATTTCCTATGCTCCTTGGCTTCATCTAGTGGCCATAATGAGCTGCAACTGTTCGCTGTGCAAATGATTTAAAAGGCAACCCCTAAGTTGAATTAAAAAAAATGAACAAAACAGAGGGGGGGGGGGTTATGGCCTGGGCTTTCAATGGGGGAAGAGGTCTGAAATCAGCATTTTCACACAAGGACAACTTTAAGGAATTGTGTAAAATCGCTTGGTCTTGCAGTGTCAATTCACTCAAAGTGATATTATCATTATGGGCGGCCCAAGGTATCCCTGTTTTTTATATGTCTTGGATACTCCAACAGTAAGGCCTCCCGCCTTGGCTCATATCCATCTGGGTTGCCACCCATCGCTGGTCCAGCATCTTTTGCTGCATTCTCCAGGATATAAAATGAATTTAAAAAAACCCGCAGGCAAGGTGGGCTCCTCTCATAATGGCCAGAGTAGGTGTGCTCCCCCAGGAACCCAAGATATCTCACCAATACACTAAAGGGTGATAAGAGGTTGCAGATCTTCTTTTGGCCTGTTCTTGCAGGCTGAACTTTCAACTCCTAACACCATAAGGAAGGTGGACATATAAAAAAAATTGCTTGCAACATTGGTTCATGCGAAGTGCACATGTGCGTTTTGCAGCAGATTCAGCAGTTAGAAGCGAGTGTTCAAATGCAAAATTGAGACAGCTCAGTTTCTCCTGATGGTAGCTGGTGATATTTAACCAGTCACGTAACGTGGAGCCTTTTATAAAAGTTCAGGAAGAGTTTAGGTTTTTTTTCTCTACATAAGTTCTGTGATTTACGATAATGCCTAATATACTAAGTGTATCTCCACCTGTGCCTGTCAGACCGCCAGCGGTGCACAGCCGAACCTCTCCAAGACTTCTCCTCTGCTGTGAGATGTCACATGACACAAAGCAGAGGTGGAGCTTAGGAGGGCTTTCCTTCAATTTGCATTGGGTGAAGCTTTGTATCTTAGGTCTGGTAAGGTTTTTGCATGGTAGAGGGAAGGGAGAGATCTTTGCATGATGAGAGGGGGGAACATTTTGCCCGTTGGGGTGTTTACTTGGTGGGTAGCTAAGTTGGTGCTGGAGGAATTGCCATTATAATGCCACAATTGCCCATGCTCTGCTCGTGTATTAAATTAGTTGCCAGTTTGCTGCCCATCCTTTATTACAATAGTTGGCCGTTTGTTACAATTGACGGTTGCCCAAGTAACGTATACGATTGCCCATTTGTAGTCCATGTAACCCGGAATGCCTTTGCCTGTTTGTAATATGCTGGTTATTAAATGTCATTGATTATAGAATGGGCTCTGTTCTTCGTACCCCTGGAACATTTTGTAAATACCTTTTCATCCAGCCAGTAGAACCACCAGGCACCCTTTGATTTACTTCTACAGGAACATCACTGCGGCATTGTCACCCTTGCTACTGTTGTAGCTGGTTGGATGCTGGCAACATACATAAGGTATTTTGTTTCCTCTATAACATTCATAATACTATCACTGAACAGCCAAGCCAAGCCTAGCTCGATCAAAAGCCCTTTAGATTGACATCCCATTACTTTATCAGCAGGAGCTTAAGCTGGCCATACATTATGCAAATTTCAGACAGTTCTTCATGAAGCTGGTGCCAGGTCTGTTTGGGTATTCTGTCAGCGGCCGGCTGCCAATACGGTGAAGACAGCAGGAGATTCCTCAATCAACTGTCATAAGTGCTGATGGAGGAACCTGTCTTTAAAACTATGATTTACTCTCATCCACATAGTTAGAGCCGATGTGTGACATTGAAATTGTCACACATCGGCTCTATTGATCGAACACATACCGTCGCTTGCTCACTTCCCGATCATCTCCTTGCAGTGACTGTCAGTCATTGCTCCCTACAGGGATTCCCCTCTGATCACCCAGCGCTGACTGGAGAGACTGAGGGAGAGGACGCAGCTGGCTCTGCGTCTAGATAGGCAGAGCCCGCTGTCAATCAGCCAGCTGGGTGGATCTCAAAAGTATTGTTGGGATCCGTCCCGGTTGCGGCGCTCTCAGTATATAGCAGACAATAGCCCGCTATATACTGAGCTTTGGGTCACCAGAGGAGGTTAGTATATGTCCTCCCATGACCCTTAAGAGAACTATAGGATAAAAAGTTGCCCTATAGTTCTCTTTTAAGCCCCCGGCTGAACGAAAAAAAAAAAATAGAACAGTGTAAAGGCAGCTTATGGGAGATCCCACCCCCTCCAAAACTGTCTAGTAGAGTGCATGCTAAATCCAGCTTCCCAAACGTGATCATATCAAAAATAAGTGTTACAAAAATGATGCAAAAAGTTCTAAGTGCTAAAGACACACTTCAAGATTGCAATTAATAAACACAACACAAAGTCACACCAAGGCTTCCCTATAAATTATGTTTATTTATAATAAATCCAATACTGAAAAGCACACGATTTGTGACAGTGACTTAATGTACATGGCATGAGCAATGGGTTTATATATAGAAAAAAGAAAACCACGGAACCAGTTACCACACACACACACACACAGCCAATCTGTTAACCATTCAGTTACGAGCAGCTTGCACAGCAGCGAGATTGTCCCGGAGAGAGGAGGGTGGTGGAAAAGGGCACCAGTCAGCAGCAGCAGCTGTCACGCTGGAACGTGAATTGGCATCACAAGTGCGCATTTTACGATCTGCTTTCAGCCAGAGCTGCCCAAATTTCAAATCAATGTATTCGTATGTATACTGGTACTCTTCGTGTGTGGGCCCGCAGGACGACTGTCATTTGAGTACTGCAAAATGTGCCAAGTAAAAATAGAATCGGCACCAACTCCATAATGAAAAAGTCACGTCTACCGTTGCACAAAA